CTCTGACTGTATCTAGGTAGAAAGAGATGGGGTTGGGTGCGTGATGATGATTATCTAAGTACTGTAAAGAGAAGAAAGAAAGTCAAAATACACAGCATATGTGTGATCACTTTATTTTTGCCTTTCAGCCATGAACATTTCAGCTTTTTTATGACGTTGTGTCCAGCACACTGAATCTCTGCAGGGCTCCTGTCGTGTCCGCAACTTCTGAAACTCAAAAATTAAAGCTGACTAGATTTATACACATTTGTGTACATTTTTACAGCATTAACAAGTAAATATGTGCTTCATATCTCAGTTAATTGAATATATATTTTTTATCATACACCTCAGTGTTTCATAATGAAACTGCTCTTTAACTTTGATCTGTTTTATAGACCCAAACCACAACGTTCCATTTCTGGCTTAAACTTGTTATGACGTTTTTATCAAAGAGACAAAAATGATCTAATTTTATATACTTGTATGACAAAACAGACACAAATAGCACCACCTCCTCCTCTAGGTGTGATCGGGGAGATATTTTAGTCTCTCTGAAACCTACAAATAACTCAGAGCTGAAATGTGACCTAAAGTGGAAGGAGTTTAAGTTTTTTTTAAACTTATATTGGTGGGTCTTGTTTGTGGGTCTAAAGCCATGGCCAGAAATGAATGTTTGTATGTAAAAAGACAAAATCAAAATGGAGTCAAATGGCAAAAACAAGCACCACATCTTCAATCTGCACCGAGACAATCACTCACACAATATTGCTGCTCTGCTCCTGGATGTATGCTCTGGCTGTCATTGAATGCTTGTTCTGTCTTGCTGAGTGGAGGTGTGACCCCACTGCTGTGTCACACTGCTCCTGGCCTGCTGAATACCAGAGCATTATCAGGCAGATGAGAGTCAGCATGGTGCTGGAAATTCTAGAGACATGCTGCACAGAAAAACAGATGGCCTCACTTGCAAACTTCACTGGCTGTCCTGATGGTACATGGGGGAGCAAGGAAGACAATGATGAGTCTCTTATGCCAGTTTTATTTCGCTTTGTTTCTGCTTATCTCAAATGCATCAAAACTGCTTTGGCATGTGAAATGTATTGAAAGCTCAGGATTAATCATTGAGGTAGGTGAGATGGAAAGATGATCTCTGCTGTGAAATGCAATGTGCTCTAAATCACATCACACCCACATTGTACCACTGTAAGAACTATGCTTTTGTATTGGGAATGCATTGAAACAGTGAAAACACTGAATGTTAATAAGTGAAAGGTTGGAAACATCTTATCTATAGACTAAAGCTCTGTGTGATACAAAGTTATTTTTCTCCAAGCAGACACATGTGAGATGTGGATAATGCATTTGGAGCAGTACAGTACTCACGCCATGTTGTGTGGAGAATTAGGAAGCTGTCTTATTTCTGGGATGCACCTTGTGGTGCTGCAGAGCAGTGTGAGTGTGCCTCTGTTGCACAAACACAGAGTAGGAATCTCATCTCAGCTGCCGTCACACAGAGTAGACACTGTTGTAAAATGCAAGTGAAATTACACAGAGCACCGCCCCACATTTAACTGAGACTTTGTTTCAACTCTCTAATGTGATTACTCACACCAGGAATTTTCAGATTGTAGACCACAGGCCCAGACAATCGGCCCTTCTAAGTGCACAGAGCGTCCACACACCTGTGCTATGGGATCTCCTCTCATTCCCTACCAGAACTCTGGTGAGCTGTACTGCTAGAATTGGGGTCTTTTTTGATACATTTATACTTTTAGTGGCTTAATGTACTGTCTGGGTTACTGAGAGTGAGTAGAATTTACTGCACTGTGGTCAAGCAGCTCCTAACAGACCACTCTATTTGACCTTTATAGGCTAGTCTAATTAAATAGGAACCACCCCATCTTTTAGATATGTTTTTGTGCACTACCTCCCTGCTGAGTAGAGATTAATATTGCTTTGCCAAGAACCTGATGTCCATTTATGGAGGGGGTCTGCTTACCTGGTCCCTGAAGGAGACACTTCTCCTGGAAGTGATTTGAGAAAGACAGCCAGAGAAACTCAAAATGTTAAAAATGTAATAAGAAAATTATAAAGCTATGAAAGATTGGTTATATGGGACATAAAAAGGTTAAACTGAAATACAAAAGTCAAAAACTCTAATCTAAGCAAGCGCACTGCCCACGGAGGTATCTCAATCTCAAATGATGCTGTTCAACTCCTGGAATCAAAAAAGTATGGTCAGCATCAATTTTTAGTCATTTCATTTTGTCATATTTTATGGCCAGAGCTTCCAGGAAAACATGCAGGACAGGAAAAATTGCAAGATAAAGAGAGGGTTGCAGTAGGAGGGAGGGATGGAGAACAATGCTGTCCTGCTCTTTGTGACAGGGTTCAGTGTGGGGATGACTTCTTGTGATGTTTCTTCATCAGTAATATGAAAAATGTTGTATGCTGAATCTGGTTTTGTGATCACTGTATGTCTTTATGTTATTGTAAACAGTTTATGGAGCAAAAACAAATTCTGGTCTCCCATACTTGCATGTGGTGTTCTAGCGTCATCTTTAAATGATGAGCATGTTTTTCTCTGTTGTCCTTACAGAGACCAGCATCTGGAACAACAGCTGGAAACACCAAACCGTCTGCTAGCCAAGGTATTTCCTAACCATCATGTTTAATCTGAGAAGTACATCCATGCAGAAATATAGTGTGTTGTTCTCATTAAAGCTTGTTTGGTACATAGACCCCCTCCTTGAACTGCCACCTTATTGTGGTGGAGGGGTTTGAGTACCCAAGTGATCCTAGGAGCTATGTTGTCGGAGGCTATATGTCCCTGGTAGGGCCTCCCAAGGCAAACAAGTCCTAGGTGATGGGTCAGACTAAGAGCTGTTCAAAACCCCTTATGAAAGAATCAAAATCAAGGACCGTGACGTCGCCTGGTATGGTGCAACCAGGGGCCCACCCTGGAGCCAGGCCCGGGGTTGGGGCTTGAACGCGAGCGCCTGGTGGCCGGGCCTTGTCCCACGAGGCCCGGCCGGGCTAACGAGCAACACGGGGACATCCTCCTGTGGGCCCACCACTTGCAGGAGCATTCGTAAGGGGCTGGTGCACAGTGGATCGGGCAGCAGTTGAAGGCAGGGGCCGCGACAACCGGATCTCTGGACACAGAGACTAGCCCTGGGGACATGGAATGTCACCTTGCTGGTGGGAAAGGAGCCTGAGCTTGTGCGGGAGGTTGAGAGGTACCGGCTAGAGATAGTCGGGCTCACCTCCACGCACAGCTTGGGCTCTGGAACCTTACTCCTCGAGAGAGGCTGGACCCTCCACTACTCTGGAGTTGCCCGTGGTGAGAGGCGGCGGGCTGGTGTGGGCTTGCTTATAGCCCCCCAGCTTAGCCACCATGTGTTGGAGTTTACCCCGGTGAACGAGAGGGTCGTTTCCCTGCACCTTTGGGCCGGGGATAGGTGTCTTACTGTTGTTTGTGCCTATGTGCAAAGTACCCGGCCTTCGTGATTAGGAGGAATGCCCCCCCCAATCTGAACCCTAGCGGTGTTCTGCTACTGGACTTCTGTGCTAGTCACAGTTTGTCCATAACGAACACCATGTTCAAGCATAAGGGTGTCCACCAGTGCACATGGCACCAGGACACCCTAGGCCGGAGATCGATTATTGACTTTGTGGTTGTTTCATCTGACCTCCGGCCGTATGTCTTGGACACTCGAGTGAAGAGAGGGGTGGAGCTGTCAACTGATCACCACCTGGTGGTGAGTTGGATTCGATGGCGGGGGAGGAAGCTGGACAGACTCGGCAGACCCAAACATATTGTGAGGGTCTGTTGGGAATGTTTGGCAGAACCCCCTGTCCGGGAGATCTCCCAACTCCCACCTCCGGCAGAGCTTCAACCAGATCCTGAGGGAGACTGGAGACATTGAGTCCGAATGGACCATATTCTCCACCTCCATTATCGATGCAGCCACTCGGAGCTGTGGCCGTAAGGTCTCTGGTGCCTGTTGTGTCGGCAATCCCCAAACCCGGTGGTGGACACCGGAAGTAAGGGATACCGTCAAGCTGAAGAAGGAGTC